GCTATCATGTTCCCCCCACTCCCTCTTTTCTCTAGATTAGTCAAACCCAAATCCTGCAGCCGTTTTTCATGTGTTTTAGTCTCCAGGCTTTTAATTATCCTAGTTGCTCTTCTCTGCACTTTTTCCAAAGTCTCAACATTTTTTGTAGGTTGGTGACTAAAACTGGATGCAGTGTTCAAGGTGCAGCCTTACTAAGGCTTTATAAGTGATACTAATTCTTCATGTGCGTTTGATTCTATGCCTCTGTTTATGCAACCAAGGATTGCATTAGCTTTTTTGGCTGCTGCCGCAATTAAGATGCCCCCCGAAGCCTTTCCTCTGCCTTCTCCATTGGCAAAGTAAGCTCGGAAATGTCTCTGAGTGAATTTAGAAATTTCCAGCAATCTGGGAATTAAACGGATGTACGTCTATATACCTGCGTTTCCCAGTGCTCTTCCGTTCCAATAGGAGTCAATTGCTTTAGAACCAGGAGACCCCAAATATCATTTCCAGTGTTTTGGAGATTATGAAGATAGGACTTTGCTTTCTCTGTCTACGTTGATAAGCAACTCATGACCACAACTGGGGCCAGAATTTCCACTGCTAAGGAAAGTGGTCAGTGAGTCATGCTCTGTTTTGTGTAGATAGAATATAATAAGATGAAAGGGACCTTGGAGGTCTTCTAGTCCAGCCCCCTGCTCAGTCAGGAGAACCTATACCATTTCAGATAAGTGACTGTCTGGTCTCTTCTTAAAAACCTCCAGTGATGGAGCACCCACAACTTCTGGTGGCAAGCTGTTCCCCTGGTTAATTGTCCTCGCTGTTAGGAAGTTTCTCCTTAATTCCAGGTTGCTTCTCTCCTTGATTAGGTTCCATCCATTGTTTCTTGTCCTGCCCTCCGGTGCTTTGGAGAATAATTTGACCCTGTCTTCTTTGTGGCAGCCCCTCAAATACTGGAATACTGCTACCCTGTCACCCCTAATTCTTCTAGCCAAACCCAAAACCTGCAGCCGTTCTTCATATGTTTTAGTCTCCAGGCCTTTGATCATCTTAGTTGCTCTTCTCTGAACATTTTCTCCCCAAAGTCTCAACATTTGTTGTTACATGAATCACTGCAGTGAAGTGAGTCACCGAGTCATTGAGCAAACCTGGCTCCCTCCATTGAATTTGTGCGTCAGAAGTCGGCTGGGAAGGTCACGGATGCTGGTCATGTGGGGATGCCTCAACCATCATAAATAATATGCCGGTTGCCAAGCGCCCGAACTCTGATCACATGATTGTGGGGATGCTACAGCAGTCATAAGACCAATCATAAGTCACTTTTTTCAGTGCTGTTGTAACTTCAAGCAATTGCTCATTGAATGGTTGTAAGATGAAGATGATACGCATTAGCTTGCGTATCAGGGGTGGGATTGAAAAATTTTAGCAACCGATTCTCTGCCTGGTTGCTGGGTGGGGCGTGGCCATGGTGGGTGTGGCCTACTCAGCTTCCTGCACCACGGCGGGGGGGAGAGCATTTTCGCCCTCCCCAGGCTCTGGAGGCTTTCCTTGAGCTTCTGGGAGGGCGAAAACAGCCTCCTGAGGGCTCCAGAGGCCCTCCAGAGGCCGGAAACAGGCCCGTTTCCAGACTTCCGGAACTTTCAGGAGGCCCGTTTTTCACCCTCCCAGAGCCTCTGCGCTGGCCCTGGCTGGCATCCAAAACGGGCCGTGTGGAGACTCCTGGGAGGGGAGGGGCAGGGTGGGCGGGGCCAGCCAGTCCTTGCAACTACCGTTTCAGTGAACCAGATGTAAAATTAGCATCCAGTTCACACAAATCGGTCCGAAACGGCTGAATCCCACCATTGCTGGAGGTTCTCAAGGAAAGATTGGACAACCTTGCCTTGGTAAGAAAATTGATAAGAAAAGGATGTATTTAATATTACATGTTTCAACAACAACGAGGATTATATTCCCACAGTACTGGAAAAATGAAGATACACCGCGAGATGAAGAGATGGTCAAGAAGATATTAGATTGTGCAGAAATGGACAGATTGACATTGAAAATTAAACAAAGAAGATGCAGATTATTATCAAACATGGAATCTATTTTACCAGTGGCTAGAAAAAAGAGGTGGAGATTAAGAATGTAAATTTATAAAGATTAAGTAATAATTACCCAGACAATATAAGCACTAAGAAATGTATTTAATAGAAAATCAATAATTTTTTTTTAAAAAAAGAACTCTTGCCTTAGAAGACCTCCAAGGTCACTTCCAGCCTAGAATTCTATGGTTTAAAATGTGTATTATCAAATTAGGGATTGGCAGCCTTTGATGGCTGCAGCTGATCATTCATCATTGAGATGGATATTTCTTCCAAAACATGGAGGCTGATTGGAAAGATGGTTTCACGATGAAGCAAACCACATGGGTCCTGGGCAGCTGCCCACATGGAGTTGAGAGTAGGGGGTATTTATACCTTCTCTTTTGGCTTTGAACTTGAGCTTCCTGTTCCTGTGCAAGAACATGTATTCTATTGGCTCTTGTCAGACTCCCATGAGGCCATGTACATATTTTAGGAGTTTGTCTAAGCTTGGTTGAAGTTTGGCTGATACAAAGAAGGGGCTTCTTGGGCAATTCCTATTGTGGCTGAGGGCTAACCCTACCTTTGTTCAGACCTTGCTGCAGGGAATTTGCTTATGAATAGAGCTAGCTATCTCTTTATCTCTTAAGTGCTGCCATCTCCATTTCTCATCCAGGGAAATATAATATTCTGCCTTTTTAAATATTTCTCAAAATATTTCATTCTTCTAGGAGAGGGGTGGGTGCTAACTTTGTACAATTTGGATGCAGCCATCAGGGGACTGATGATGGAAAGGATTTGTGGTTGGATGTTTTCCCCTTGTTTTGGTCATGTTGCTGTTGGTTTTGTTTTTGTTTTCACAACTCCACTTTGCTTACTTTGGTACAAGCCATCGTTTTCATATGTTTGTCATCTTCAGAGGGCTGAGACCTAAACAAGAGATGAAGTTGCTCTTGGGGTTGCTAGGAAGATCGCAACACAAGGTTGTGGGATCTGTGTGTGGCTTTGTAGCAATTGTCTGCTCAGCTGTGATCTGAACATGACAGTGAGAAAGTTCAATATTCCCACCATCCTATTGCTCCAAATCTTCTTTAGGGTGTAAATCTACTATTTGGTGACTTTTGCGACTAATGGATGGAATAATGGATGGAAACTGATCAAGGAGAGATTCAACCTAGAAATAAGGAGAAATTTTCTGACAATGAGAACAATCAACCGATGGAACAGAAGTTGCCTTCAGAAGTTGTGGGAGCTTCATCAATGGAGGCTTTCAAGAAGAGACTGGACTGCCATCTGTCAGAAATGGTGTAGGGTCTCCTGCTTGGATGGAGGGGGGTGGAGTAGATCAGGGGTCACAAACCTTTTGGACCTAAATTCATAATTTTAAATCCTGCGGACCACTAATATGATCTGCCTAATGACAGGCTGGGTGGGCATGGCTAGGTGGTCATGTGACGTAGGTGGGTGTGGCCAACTCGATGTCACTCACATCGAGGGGTGCCTCGTTGGCCTCTACTCACCCCTCCCCTACCTGCCACTCCTTGCCTCCCCACCCGGGCTCCTTAGAGCCCCAACAGGAAGCAGTTGTTGGAGCTAAGCAGCCACCATGAGACAGAGTGGGCAAAACAGCTCAATTCAAATTGGATCTGACCGAGAAGGAGGCTCAGCAGAAGCACCTCACTGAGGACTAGGAGCATAGGCTTTCCAAGCAGAGGGAAGACCTGCGGGAGTGCAAGGCCAGGTACCGGCACCTGGAGGCTCATCAGGCTAAGATAGTCAGCCAGTTCCAGGCCATGATGCAGTCCCACTGGAACGAGGCCCTCTGGCTCTTTGCCACCAGCGGCACTTCCCCCCAGCCTTTGCCCAAAGCCCCACACCAGGAGGCCGAAGCAGACCCCAAGTCGGAATTTCTGTCCACCTATGACCCACACAAAAAGACCCCGAAGGGGGAGACTCTCTGCAGCAACACAAACGTTCATTGCACGTATCTGGCCCAGGGGCCGTAGTTTGAGGACCCCTGATTTAGTGCAATATAAAAAATGCAAATAATTTTTCTGCGGACCACCAAAATTTTCTCACAGACCCCCAGTGGTCCACGGACCACCAGTTGGTGACCACTGGACTAGATGACCTACAAGGTCCCTTCCAGCTCTATTCTGATTGATTGATTTGTTGGTTGGTTGGTTGGTTGATTGATTGATTGATCCAACCTAGAAATAAGGAGGAATTTCCTGACAGTGAGAGCAATCAACCGAAGGAACAGAAGTTGCCTTCAGAAGTTGTGGGAGCTTCATCACTGGAGGCTTTCAAGAAGAGACTGCACTGCCATATGTCAGAAATGGTGTAGGGTCTCCTGTGTGGGCAGGGGGTTGGACTAGATGACCTCCAAGGTCCCTTCCAACTCTGTTAATCTGTATCTGTATCTAAGATGAAAAAATAATCCCTACATTATTCATAGATATGGTTTTTTTTGTTTTTTTTTAATTTGATTTATATGCCGCCCTTCTCCAGAGACTCAGGGCGGCTTACAATGCGTTAAGCAATAGCCTTCATTCTTTTGTATGTTTATACAAAGTCAGCTTATTGCCCCCACAACCTGGGTCCTCATTTCACCCACCTTAGAAAGGATGGAAGGCTGAGTCAACCTTGAGCCTTGGAGAGATTCAAACCAGCAGAAATTGCAGGCAACTGTTTTAATAACAGGGTGCATTAAACCACTGTACTATCAAGGCTCCCGAGGAATGTTGCCATTCCTCGGGAGGGGGAAGTGTCAGCAAGGACTGGCCAGGCAGGCTGGCGCTATGGGAAATGGGTGCAGAAGAGGAGGCCTTGAAGGAGGCGAGGAAGAGGCTCGTGGCCTCTCCAAGTGCTCAGGAGGCTTTGCGGGTGTCCTTTTGCTTGGCCTGAGATGCGAAGGTCCTTCGCAATTTTCCTAACCGAGTTCCGTCTCCTTTGCAGGTCCTCTGGATTTGTTTGCTGCCCAGGATGGAGACAGCAAGAGGAGGAATGCCCAATAGGTAAGATCTCACCTGTTCTCCTTTTCAAGGCCGGTCAGAAGCTCTGCATGAGCCTCCATGGAGTTTGGGGGAAGAGAAAGCAGCCCTTCCTCTTCTAGCTCCCCAGTGGCCCTTGGGGGTATATAGGGGGCTGATGGGCAAAGGTCGGAGCTGGGGGGTGGTTTGACTGTGAAGAAGAGACCCTGAGGGTCTCTGCTGCAGGAGCACCAGAGGTGGGCTGCTGGAGGTTCGCAAGGGTTCGGGAGAACCTCTAGCTAAAATTCTGTGCAGTTTGGAGAACCCCCAAATCCCACTCCTGGCTGGCCCCGCCCACCTCGCTCCTCCCAGGAGTCCCCACGTGGCCTGTTTTGGTTGCAGGTAAGTGCAGGGTGCGCATGGAGTCTCAGGGAGGGCGAAAAATGGGCCTACCGGAAGTTCGGGAAACGGACCCATTTCTGGCCTCCGGAGCTTGGGTAGGCCGTTTTCATCCTCCTGGAGACTTGAGAAAAACCTTTGGAGCACGGGGAGGGCAAAAACGTGCTCCCCCGGGCATGGTGCAGGAAGCTGACTAGGCCACGCCCACCATGGCCAAGCCCACCCAGCAACTGGCCAGAGAACCCCTTGCTAAAACTTTTGAAGCCTACCGCTGGGGAGCATCAATATTTCTGCTTCACTAACAGCTTCATCAACCTGGGCCAGGATGCGTAACGGGACAACTTGCTGCATCCAACCTGCCCTGGCCAACTCGCCATGGGCCAACTCAAAAATTCAATTTACATTTAAAATAAATTAAAAAAATACTTTAATGTTTGTCATTCCCGTTTCAGTTTGTCCCTCCTTTTGCATCCTTTCTCTAATGATTCCCATTCCACCGTTTCTTTGATGTTTGTGTAACTCTCGTTCCGCAGCGAGTTGTCCTGCCATGAGTTGGCCGTGGCAAGTTGGCCACGGCAAATTGTCATAGACCCCTGGGGCTGAGGTCTGTGTCTCAAAGAGGAAGCACACTGTGGGTTTACGGCGCAGCACAGTTAATCCGATTGCACTGAATTAGCCCAATTTATACAACAAATTGTCAAATACCAGTATATTGAATTACGTGCTAACCATTTTGGTTCAGCTTGTCCAGTGTGCTTTAACTAGTTACTGAATCAAACTAGTTTCCAGATTCCCGTGGTATATCGAAGCATAAACTTAATTTATTGGTTGGCTTTGCATAAATTGGGGCCTTCTTGGTGCTTTTGAGCTTGGTTTGCTGGCCGGCATTTTCTTATTCAGCGAAGTAAGGTCTTCAGGACTAGACATAATAGGCCAAGTCACTAGAGTAAACTCACCAAGGTTAATCCCAAGAAAGCATTGCATTGCAAGCATTGCATTGTAAGCATTGCAAACAGAGCTGCTCATACTTTAACTGAGCTGCTTAAGTGAACTGTCACATCTAGCCATTTTTAGGGTTAGAACCATAGTATGGAAAAGTTGAAAGGAACCTCAGAGGTCATCTAGTTGAGAATCCTGCAGAATGCACGTAAATTGATCCCCAACAGTTCATTGTCCAGCTTCTGTTTAAACTCTTCCAGGAGTCACCTCACAATGTAGTTCGTTCCCCTGTTGAACAAAACTTGAAGCTGGGAAATTCTTCCAGATGCCCAACAAAACATTCACTTCCTTGAAATTTCAGGGTGGCCTCCTTTTTTTCTTGTCTTGGAAGGAGTCTGAACAATTCTTCTGCTACCCGAAGAGAAGCCCCTCGTCTCCCTGCAATCTTATAGTTCTGTGGGGCAGAATGAAGAAGGGCTTCAGATATTCCTCCTGCTCTCCTTCCGGGCTCTTTCCCACCTTGGTTGCTCTCCTCTGAACATTCTCCTGTTTTTCACTGCGGTCAGACTGGATGCAGAATTGCACCCTGGTCCTGAGCATAAGATGAGATGCACGTCTGTGGTCGTAACTCACCTCGGTCCAGTAGACGAGGATCCCTAACCATTGTGGGCCAGTGAGAACCCGGAGGGCATCCTGAGGGTGCATAGCCAATGGTGGGATTTAGCCGGTTTGGGCGAATCGGTAGTTAAATTTCTGGCTGGCTCTGCCCCTTTCCGCCCGGCCTTTCCAGGAGTCCCCATGCACCCCATTTCGGCTCCCAGGTAAGTGCAGGGAGGCCTCCTCTGCCCAAAACAGGGTGCAGGAGGCTTCAAGGAGACTTCCTAGGCCCACAATGGACTGCGGGGGGCGTCAGCACGTTCCCCCCTGCAGCCCGTTTTTGCTCCCAGGGGGGTGCAGGAGGCCGAGTGCTGATCTTTCTGATCGACAAGCTCAGTGTCTTAGCCACTGAGCCACTTAATCAGGCTTCTCATTGCTTACCGCAGTATTTTTCAAGCTTGGCCACTTTAAGAGGCGTGGACTGCAACTCCCAGAATTCCCCAACTGACTGGGGAGTTCTGGGAGTTGCAGTCCACGCCTCTTAAAGTGGCCAAGCTTGAAAAAGACTGATTTATAGGTATCAGATTAGTCCTGCCAAAAAAACAAAACTTAATTTTTGCAGGCTTTTCTTGCTGCAGAATTTGGACGGACAGCTAAGCCCCAGAGCCTGGCTGTGGCCTCCTTGCCAGCCAGGCTCCCTGATCCTAGAACTCCAGGTTGAGAGCCAAGGAAGGGAGCCCGCGGCTGCCTCTCTTCTGTGCGCCATTGTCTGCGGCCAGCCCGGCTGGAACTTGGCCTCCAGAAGTTCCGCTTCCAGTCGTTTTGCAGGCAGAGGAGGGGCCGAAAGCCGAAGCAGGCTGGGCGTTCTCGGGACTTGGAGTCCCAAGGCACCGATGGGAAAAACTTGGAGAAGTTATTTTTAGACGCCTGGTCAATGCGCTGCTGTTCCAGCTGGCGGAGGGAGGCCTCTTCCTTTCCTGCCCAGCGATATTTTGCAATGCGCTTGATCTCCAGAGCTTTGGGAGGTTGGGGGGGGGGAGAGGGAGGTGGAAATGGCCAAGAGCAAAGCCACAGAAGAACGCAGTGTACAAATTCACTGGATTGTGTGAGCGCAGCGGAGGGAGAATATCCAGCTTGGAAGCAGCTGGAGGTTCCTGCCTCTGTTCTAGGAAGCCAAGCCAAGAGGTGAATGTTTGGGAGGCTGGAGGTGGCGCCATTTGTGCACCTCTCTCCATAGGATCCAAGCCATGCTTCCAGGATTTTCCAGCTTTTTTTTTAATTACACCAGTTCAATCATCTAATCCGGGGGTGTCAAACTCAAGGCCGACGGTGCATGAATTTGGCCCCCGGGGCCAGCCTGGAAATAGCAAAGGACCAGCCCGCGGTGCCTCTGGAAGCCAAAACTAGGGTTGCCAGGCCTACTTCCAAAAAATAGCGGACAAGCAGGGGCGGGGGGGGGGTGTTAAGTAGTAAAAACATAAAAAAAAATTTTTACAATTAAATTATATATTTTCTTACAAACATTTTAACACATATTAAAATAATCACTTCAAAACTTTATTTAAAATTCAAAACATCAAATATATTATAATAATATGTAAAATTTTAAATTACATTTTAATTTCATCATAAAGCTTTTGAATAAAAAAAATGTCCACTATTTTGTGAAAAAAAATAGTGAACATAATGTGAAAAAAGTGGACTGTCCGCTCAAATAGTGGACACCTGGCAACCCTAGCCAAAACAGGACATAGAGGGCCCTGCGCAGGCCCCATACGGCCCGTTTTCAGCCTGGATGGCCTCCTGCAGCACTTTGCTGGGCTAAAACAGGGCCCACAGGGCCCCGCTGATCCGGCCTTCAAAAAAAAAACCAGTTTGACACCCCTGATCTAATCCATTTTTTAAAAGATGAGCAGGACATTGCATTTCTATCTAACATGGAAGAGCTCGCCTCCTCACTTTGGAGGAAGGTGCAGTCCAGGGGTGAAATCTACTTACCTCCCCTACTGGTTCGAAAGCGCATGCTTGTCACATGGGATTTTGGACCCTCTGCACATGCGCAAAGCCTTCTGCGCATGCGCAGAGGGTAAAAAACAGTTTACTTCCTGGTTAAAACCTGGAATTAATGACGTCTGGGCAGGTGGACGGAGCCTCGTGCTGCCGCCGCTACCAGTTCGCCAAACCACCCACCGCCGCTACCAGTTTGCCCGAACCAGTGCAAATCGGTAGCATTTCACCCCTGGTGCAGTTCTCCCCCAGGCTGTGAATTCCCCACCCTTTTCCCAGAGGGTCTGGTCCACAATGAGGCCTTGCCAGCCTCACTGAATTTGACATCAGGGGCCTTAGAGACAGGAAGAAGCATTGAAGGATGTAATTTGTCAGCCCTCCCAAATCAGACTCTCCTCAATGTGCTAAAGTGGAGTGTCTCAGCCCCCCTGGAGACAGCCGGTTGGGTGAGGATTTTCAGGGGGGTTCCTTGTGGGGCTCTGGATTTGGCAAACCAGGCAAGGCCCCATGGCACAGAAGGGGAGACATGCCGAGCATTGAGGGGCTGGATGGAGGCATTGGCCAGTCCCATAGAGCCAAAATCAGTCCTGAAGAGCATTAGGGCCCAACGGGGCTGGAGAAGCAACAGAATTGGGGGTGCCATTGGAGAGACAAAGGCCAGCAGGCATGATAATGTGACTACATTTTGAGGGCAGCAGAGGGCAGCCCCTGGCTGACCGTGTGACTGATCAGGAGTGGGAAGCCAGGTTGGGCTGCGACTTGGCTGGGAAGAAGCCAGCGGAGTCTGGCATGAGCGCCGGACTGGAAAGAGGAAATAGCAAAACCATTTTCCTGCTGTCTGTGGCGTGTCTGCAAAAACCTTGAGGTCTTAAATTGAGACATCATTTTCATATTTGTATATTTATAATCCACTTTGCCTTTCAAAGGAGATCACTTAAATATGAGCCAGCCGTGTGTAGCAGCAGCCAAAACAGCTAATGCAATCCTTGCTTGTATAAACAGAGACAAAGAATCAAAATCACATGAAGCAGAGGTGGATTTCAGCAGGTTTTGACCAGTTCTGGAGAACCGGTAGTGGAAATTTTGAGTAGTTCGGAGAACCGGCAAATACCACCTCTGACTGGCCCCGCCCCCATCTATTCTGTGCCTCCCAACTCCCAGCTGATCAGGAGGGAATGGAGATTTTGCATAACCTTCCCCTGCCACGCCTACTAAGCCACACCCACCAAGCCATGCCACACCCACCAAGCCACGCCCACAGAACCAGTAGTAAAAAAAATTGAATCCCACCACTGACGTGAAATAGTAATGCTGCTTTATAAAACCTTAGTAAGACCACATGTGGAATGCTGCATTCAGTTTTGGTCACCACATTATAAAAAATATGTTGAGACTTTGGGAAAAAGTGCAAAGAAGAGCAACTAAAATGATTAAAGGCCTGGAGACAAAAACATATGAAGAACGGTAGCAGGAATTGGGTATGGCCAGTTTAGAGAAAAGAAGGACTGATGGCAGTCTTTGAATACCCTGTTTCCCCCAAAATAAGACATCCCCTGATAATAAGCCCAATCGGGCTTTTGAGCGCATGGCAACAAGGCCAAGCGCTTATTTCAGGGTTCAAAAAAATATAAGACAGAGTCTTATTTTCAGGGGAAACACGGTATTTGAGGGCCTGCCCCACAGAAGAAGGGGGTCAGTTTTTTTTCCAAAGCACCCGAAGGCAAGACAAGAAATAACGGATGGAAACTAGTCAAGGAGAGAAGCAACCTAGAATTAAGGAGAAACTTCCTAACAGTGAGGACAATTAGCCAGTGGAACAGAAGTTGCCTTCAGAAGTTGTGGATGCTTCATCAGTGGAGGCTTTTTTAAAGAAAAGATTAGACAGCCACTTGTCTGAAATGGTATAGGGTCTCCTGCTTAAGCAGGGGGCTGGACTAGAAGACCTCCAAGGTCCCTTCCATCTCTATTCAGTTTGGTTGATCTCATTGGGAGGGGGGAGCTAATGTCCATTTGTCCAAGGGCTGTGCTGAGTTCCGGCAGGACTGTGCAAACTCCATGGCTAGGCGTGGCCCTGGTTGATTCCAGAGTTAGTGCATGCAGTATGTCCTTTTAAGCTGCCCTCCGAAGCCTCCGGGTGGGACTGTACCCTCCCCCCACCCCATTGCCTGTCTTTGGAAAAGCTGGATAATAACCAACTAATCTTCCCCAGAGTCCTCCACGGATGCACTAACCGCTTCCCTAACTCCTCCTTTGCATGCGCCCTCATGCCCTGGACTGACAGAGGCTGCCCGCCATGTACCAGGGAGCTGCTCTCTCCACTCATCAACGGGGTAAGTATGCTGCCTTCCCTCTGGCGGGCATTGTGCCACCCCCGCTCGGTTGCCTCCCCTCTGGGACGGCCATTCTGTCTCTCCTACCCACCCACCCACCCCGTTTCTCTCTGCCCCAACTAACTCTGGGTCTAATAATCCTTTCCTCAGTGCCTCTCTCCATTCCTTGTTCCCATCCCTTTGGGGGGCATTGGGCAAATTTCCCTTTGCTGCTCCCCTTGCGGGAGGAGCTATTTGGGGGAGCCCAGGTTGTCATCTGGCATTTCTCCCTTGGGGGCAAGTTGAATTGGCAACCTGGGGAAAGGTGAGGTTTATGGAGGCTCCTGGGAGACGTCGGTCACCTTCCCTGCTCCGCCATTTGCAATCTGCAAGCAAAAGCTTTACACTAGAATCAGGAAAATTGGGGAAGTGGGATTGATGTTTTGCTGCAGAACTTCGGTTTGCAGTCAATGATGGAAGCTGTGTAAACCAGGGGTCTCCAACCTTGGCAACTTTAAGCCTGGAGGACTTCAACTCCCAGAGTTCCCCAGCCAGCAAAGTTGAAGTCCACCAGGCTTAAGGTTGCCAAGGTTGGAGATCCCTGGTCTAAACGGTTTTATGGTCATTTCGCAGAGAATTTGGGGGCATTTGTGGGAAATTAAACAGCTTTCTACCAGGAGAAAAGCATCACTGGTAGTCCTTGACTTACGTCAGAGGTGGGTTTCAGCAGGTTCTGACCAGTTCTGGAGAACCGGTAGCGGAAATTTTCAGTAGTTGGGAGAACCGGTAGTAAAAATTTTGACTGGCCCCACCCCACCTATTCTCTGCCTCCCAAGTCCCAGCTGATCAGGAGGAAATGGGGATTTTGCAGTAACCTTCCCCTGCCATGCTCACCAAGCCAAGCCACGCCCACCAAGCCACGCCCACAGAACCGGTAGTAAAAAAATTTGAAACCCACCACTGACTTATGATTGGAAAGGACTTCAAGGCCTTTAAGTTAAGTGACTTGCAGGCAATTTTTGCAACCCTTTTTAGCCACGGTCGTTAAGCGAATCACTGCAATTGTTAAGTGAATCGCACAGTCCTTAAACAAACTTAGCTGGAAAGTTAATGTTTAAAGTTAATTAAGTGAACTGGAAAGGTCACATACAACGATCGCTTGACCCCTGGATCTTGCAACCATCGGAAATACATTGCTGAATGTCCAAATTTGTCTGAATGGTTCCAGTGGTGGGTTCCTCCCGGTTCGGCCCGATTCGGCCGAGCCGGTAGCAGTGACGATATGACGTCACCGAACTGGTTCTCTTTGTTCGGGAGCTGGGCCCTCCAGCCCCCCTCGACTTATAACAGCTCACTTAGTGACCGTTCAAACTTGCAACATCACTGAAAAAAGTGACTTATGACCCTTTTTCACACTTACAACCATGGCAGCATCCCCGCGGTCACGTGATCAAAATTCGGACGCTTGGCAAACTGACTCATACTTATGATCATGGCAGCGCCGCTGGGGATCACGTGATTCCCCTTTAGCGACCTTCTGACCAGCAAAGTCAATGCGGAAATCAGATTCACTTAACAACAGTGTTACTAACTTAGCAAGTGGTTAACATTCGCTTAACAACGATGGCAAGCAAGGTCGTAAAACTGGGACAAAGCTCCCTCAAGCAAATTTCTCACCTAGCAACATAAAATTTCGGGCTCCGTTGTGGTCATAAGTCAAGGACCACAGAACAGTGTCCCCAGAAAGGATCAAGTGGGCAGTGAAAGCTGCAACAAGTTCCTGGTATAAATCACGGTGAACTAACCAGGATGGGGACCAGTGGTGGCTTCCAGTTACCTTCGCTACCGGTTCAGAACTGTGAGCGCACGCAGAGAGCATCGGTGATGACGTCCGGGTGGATGGGCGGAGCCTCCCACCGCCGCCACTACCGATTCGCCCGAACCGGGATGAACCAGTAGAAACCCACCACTGATGGGGACATCCCTTGGTGTCCTCCTGGTTGATTTCTCTCCAAGCCAAAAGGCCCACAGCAAAAGCTCCAAGTGTGGGGAGGGGAGGGAATGGGGGAGAAGCCAACGGAGCCCCCTCACCTTCTCTTTTCTCCCCCTGCAGCCGTCTGCGAGGGCAACTTCACCTGCACCAACAACGAGGTGTGTGTGAGGCCCAACGAATGTCGCTGTCGCCATGGCTATTTTGGGGCCAACTGCGAAACCAGTAAGCAAACTCCAGACTGGGGAGGGCGGGGAGGGGGAAAGGGGGCCATCAGGGGCCAGAACCACCAGTCCCATCCAGGCCAGAATTCCCACCTGTCCGGCAGAGAAGATAAATGGGGGAGGGGATGATTATCATCATCATTATTTCAATTTAATATCTCATCTTCTTAACCTTGCTTTTGGGTGCTGCTTGTGGGCTTCTCACAGGTCAGGGGCTAGGAAGGTTAGGGTTGTGTTTGACTTGGGGGTCCTGGGTGGGAGTGGCCAGCTCGATGTCACTCATGTTGAGGACACCTGTGGTGCAGGGGAGAAATCCAGCAGGTTCTGACAGGTTCTGGAGAACCGGTAGCGGAAATTTTGAGCAGTTCGGAGAACCAGCAAATGCCACCTCTGGCTGGGCCCAGAGTGGGGTGGGAATGGAGATTTTGCAATATCCTTCCCCCAGAAGTGGGGTGGGAATGGGGATTTTGCAATATCCTTCCCCTGCCACGCCCACCAAGCCATGTCCATAGAACCGGTAGTAAAAAAAATTGGATTTCACCACTGCTGTGGTGGCCAAGTGCTAAGGCAGGACTTCCCTGCCTCTCACTATAATCTTCCTTCCTTCCTTCCTTCCTTCCTTCCTTCCTTCCTTCCTTCCTTCCTTCCTTCCTTCCCTCCCTCTCTCCCTCCCTCTTCATTCTTTTTTCTTCTTCCTTCCCCTCTTTCCTTGCTTTCTTTTTCTTTTTCTTTCTTCTTTCCCTTTCTCCTTTCCTGTCTGTTTTTGGATGCTCAAATGCAAAAGGGGAAACATTTCTCCTTTTCTTTTGTTTTTAGTTTGTTTTGATAGTTCTCTGCCACCGAAAACGGGGCCCAGGGCGGGGCTGCGCACGGCCCTCCCAAGCTCCGTTTTCGCTGGCAGAGGCACCGTGGGCCAGATTTGGTCCAGATTTGAGTTTGACACCCTGCGGTAGAGAAATTAATTAAGCATGAAAATGTGGGCAAATAGGAGGGCAAAGGTCCTTCTGTGACTGGGGAGCAAAACAATAAAGACTGCCCTCCCAAAATTGGCTAGAGCAGTGTTTCTCAACCTTGGCAACTTTAAGATGGGTAGACTTCAACTCCACATATCTTAGTGGAAATCCACATATCTTAAAGTTGCCAGGGTTGAGTGCGGCATCTTCGCAGGAGTGTGTTGTGACCCCGCCCTCTGAGCCTATCTCATCGGAGGAAGAAGGCTCCGAACATGAGGGAGAGGAGTCAGCCAGGCCTCCCTCTCCAGGCCCCTCCCCTCTGGCACTGTCTCAGGTGCCGGCCGAGGGAGAAGAGATTAGCCAGGAGCCAGGTGTTTCGGATGAGAGCGAGGAAGGAGAGCCGTCGTTCCTGGATGCACGCCAACGAAGGCGTGATAAACGGTTGCAGCAGTTAAGGAGGTGTGCCAGGGATTAGAACTGAGTCACTGGACCACACCCCAGAGACTATATAAGAGAGGGTGGTGGCTGGTAAAACTCCGTGACGAACAAAAACTAACTCTGGCTAGTCACTTGAACAACATCTGAAGCTGCCGAAGGGATATTGTTTTTGCTGGACTATTTGCAATGCGTATGTAATTTTATGTTATCTGTTGCAGTAAAGCTTTTGGCAGAAGGTGCTTATATTGTTGCCAAGTTTGAGATAACGACCTCTGTGCGTGCCAAGTACTTTCTTAACCCTCGGCTGGCTGTGTTTGTGTGTGTGTGTAGACGGGGACAGATCAGAGTATCTCCTGCCTGTCTTGCTGGCTTGGCAGAACAATGATGGGATGGGTGTGGTGGCAGAGTGGTGCAAACCCTCCTGTTTGCCGGCCTTTTAAAAAATTACTAGCATGAACAATCCACAGCGATATTGCAGGGTAGCCGGTTAGAGTAACTCAAACTTAACAGTGGGAGAGTTACAGGAAGAGCCGCGGTGGCGCAGTGGTTAGAGTGCAGTACTGCAGGCTACTTCTGCTTACTGCCAGTTGCCTGAAATTTGGCAGTTCAATTCTCACCAGGCTCAAGGTTGACTCAGCCTTCTGTCCTTCCGAGGTCGGTAAAGTGAGGACCCAGATTGTTGCGGGCAAGAGGCTGACTCTGTAAACCACTTAGAGAGGGCTGTGAAGGACTGTGAAGCGGTATATAAGTCTAAGGGTTATTGCTATTATGGGAAGCGGGACCTTCCAGGATGCTCACCTGCTTCTGTCATCCCCTGTAGAGTGTCCCCGCCTCTTTTGGGGCCCGGATTGCAAAGAGCTATGCAACTGCTACCCCAACGGGCAGTGTGAGGACGTGACGGGCCAGTGCACATGCAATGCCAACCGCTGGGGCCAGCGGTGCGAGAACGTCTGCCTGTGCAAACATGGCAAATGTGACCAGAAGACGGGCAAGTGTTCCTGCGAGCCGAACTGGTGGGGGCCCCAGTGTGCCAACGCCTGCTACTGCAGCCTCAACTCGCAGTGCGACCAGAAGACGGGCATCTGCCTCTGCCAGCCGGGCTGGTGGGGGCGCACCTGCAACAACCAGTGCGCCTGCAGCACCTCGCCCTGCGAGCAGTTCACGGGACGCTGCCAGTGCCGCAGCCGCACCTTTGGTCCCCGTTGCGACCGTTACTGCCAGTGTCACATGGGGAAGTGCAACCAGGTGGACGGGACCTGCACCTGCGAGCCAGGCTACCGGGGGAAGTTCTGCCGCGAGGCCTGTCCGGCCGGCTTCTACGGACAAGGCTGCAGGCGACGGTAAGCAGGGCCGCCTTTGGGGACTCCCCCCACCCCCAGGGATTTGGAGAGGCAGGGCAGATCTGCAACACTCAGCCTGTGCCCGTCCCCATTGTCCCTTTCCTCGAAACAGCTCAGGGCAGCGTTTCTCAGCCATGGCACATTTAAGAGGGGCAGACTTCAACTCCCAGAATTGTCCGGTCATCCATACTTGCCAAGGTTGAGAAACGGCATCCTGGACCCACTGGCAGACCCTCACATGACCTTCCCAGAACATTTGGGCAAGAAGCAGTCTCTTTATCAAGGTTCAGCCCAGTTCTTCTTTTTCTTGTGCCATATCCGTCATCAGACGTTGCCAATCATGTTGGCCATCCTATTTTTATCAACAGCCGCATGAAAAAGTGCTGCTGAGTTTTGTCCAAACTGGCTCCTTAGATTTTGAAGCCATGATGTTCTTCTGCCTGGACCTCATTTGCCTTCAATCTTTCCCTGGAGGATTAAGTGAAGGATGCCGTATTTTTCCCGGTGTCACATCGATGGCACGTCCAAAATATTCCAACTTTTGTTTTTTTATGGTTTTGATGATTTCCCTTGTCTTTCTTAGGCAGCTTATCACCTCCTCCTTTCTGATTTTGTCAACCCAGCTTATACGTAACAGCTACCTATCAAGCCACATAAATCAGCCCTACTGCAAGAAAAATATTAAATGACATTTGCAAGTGATAACTTCTAAAGAGAATATGTAATCTCCATAAGTCCCTGATTTGGCATTTTGAGAGCATTTATAACTTTTTTTTTTTTAATCAAGGAAGAACATTGGATTGTTAAAGTGCTCAAAGAAAGCAGAATTGGGGGATTTCTCCAATTATCTGGAAGAGCTACGGGCACAATCTTACTTGAGCGCAGAATAATTCAGAAACTCCACCTACAGGTTTGCCCTCTGCCCACCTCTCCCACCCACCCCAAATTCAGGAGAAATGAAGTATTTCAAAATGGACAATTTGCAATGAGTGGGATTTCAGCCTTCATCATCCCCAGCTACCAGGTCCTCAAACCACATTGGTTCAGGATTTTGAGGGTCAAAATTACCATATTTTTCAAATTATAAGACGCACCTAAATTTAGAAGAGGAAAACAAAAAAAAAAAAGTTTTTTGCCTCCATGCCAGAGGTGGGTTTCAGCAGGTTCTGACCAGTTCTGGAGAAACGATAGCGGAAATTTTGAGTAGTTCGGAGAAGTGGTAGTAAAAATTCTGACTGGCTCCTCCTCCATCTATTCTCTGCTTCCCAAGTCCCAGCTGATCGGGAGGAAATGGGGATTTTGCAATATCCTTCCCCTGGAGTGGGGTGGGAATGGAGGGTTTACAGTATCCTTCCCCTGCCACGCCCACCAAGCCACACCCATCAAGTCATGCCACACCCACCAAGCCACACCCACAGAACCGGTAGTAAAAAAAAATTGAAACCCACCACTGCTCCGTGCGCCCCATTTTCGGGTCTTTTCCAGCCTTTTTCAAGGTTTTTGTCAGCCCACTTTTGGGACTTTTTTCATCCCATTTTCAAAACTTTTTTAGCCCATTTTTTGGGGGGGAAAAGAGCAGAAAAAAGCCTCAAAAACAGGCCAGAAAAAGCCTCAAAAACAAGTTGAAAAAAGCCTTGAAAACAGGCTGAAAAAAGCCTTGAAAATTGGCCCAAAAAAGCCTCAAAAACGGGCTGAAAAAAAGCCCGAAAATGGGCCGAAAAAAGGCCTGGAAAAGGCCCCCCAAAAGGCCCAAAGCAGGGCTTGAGGAGGCCAAAATATGGCCCGCGGGTGGGTGGGGCTTCAGCAATATTCAGTCTATAAGACGCCCAGACATTTTCACCCTCTTTTGGGAGACAAATAGGTGCTTATAGTCCGAAAAACATGGTACTGAGAGAGAGAGAAATGGCCCAGCAACCCTAGGTGAATGCACCTCCGTCACAACCCAGCCAGTTTCCAATAAACCTGGTCTGTAGAGGTCGTCCTCGTCTTATGACCACAATGGCCACCAGCATTTAACACCAACTGCTAAGCAAAGCAGTTGTTGAGTGAGATGAATTCCGTTTTGCAACCTTTTTTTGCCGGGGTTGTTAAGCGAATCACTGCAGTGAAGAGAATGTTGCGGTTCTTAAGTGAATCTAATTTCCTCCATTGACTTTGCTTGTCGAAAGTCGCCAATGGTGACCAGATGAGCCAGGGATGCTCCAGCCGTCATACACACGTACTGGTTGCCAAACACCCAAATTTTGATCATGGGGATGCTGCAGTGGTTATAAGTGTGAGGACAGCTCGTAAGTCACTATTTTCAATGCCATTGCAGCTTCGAACAGTCACTAAATAAATGGTTGCAAGTCAAGAACCATCTGCACTAGCCTAAAGGTTCTCTTTGGATTGAGAAGAATCCCTTCCTTCAAAAAAATTGGGAAGAGGCACCCAGAAGCCTCCCTGCCAAGTGCCTACCCTCTGGTGGGTGCAAGTCTGTCTGGCAGGGAGATGGATAATTGTCTGCTACATCTATTCATCTCTGCCCCCTGCCTTTTATCCCCAGAGTTAGGGTGGGGCTTCGCTAGCAGCAGTGGCTCTTCCGTCCCAAGGACCGGCCCATAGATTCCCACTGCTCTCCTCTCCTCTGCTTCTGTTCATATTTGCATCAGTCACTGGACCCAGCTGTTCCTCCTCTTCCTCATCAGCCACCTCCAGACCTGGGGGCTGTTGACTCTCCATCTGAGGGTTGATGGATGGCCCAGGCTCCACCTTTGTCTCTTTCTCTCTGCCATCTCCCTTCCCTCTTCCCCCTCGGAGCTCTCAGGCTGCCTCGATGCTGGCCCTGACTCCCACACCGCCACATCATCTGATTCGGCTGCTGGAGGGGCTGGCTGCCGACAGGCCACAACTACTTGCTGCCTGGCCCCATGCCCTTCACACGCTCTCTGCTCCATCTCCGCAGGTGCGGTCAGTGCAAGGAGCTCCAGCCGTGTACAATTGTGGATGGCCGTTGCCTGGCCTGCGAAGCCGGTTGGAATGGAACCAAGTGTGACCAGATCTGCTCCCCGGGCTTTTACGGAGAGGGCTGTGAGCAGATCTGCCCTCCCTGTAAGGATGGCCACACCTGCAATCATATCAATGGGAAATGTTCCCACTGCAATCCAGGCTGGATCGGAGACAGGTGAGTAGCTGATGGCCTCTGAGTACCGAAAAGTGTCCTTGATAGTATACTGTCTTCGATCTGTTGGTGCATCTTCCCTTTGGATCCCTTGGGGTTGCACAAACGTGACACACTCAACATATGTGTGTTTTGGGTTCTAGATTACCAATCTCAAGGGATCGCTCAGCCTTTATTTAATCCATTGCTACTTCTTCAGAACCTGTACTCTTAGGCCAAATTGCCAAATCCATTATTCAAGGGCCTCTGCCTAATTAGAATTAGAATTAGAATTAGAATTAGAATTAGAATTAGAATTAGAATTAGAATTAGAATTGAGCTGGAAGGGACCTTGGAGGTATTCTAGTCCAGCCCCTCGCTCAAGCATGAATGACGAGAAGCGAGTTTCCTATGATGATCTCAGCTGTCCTCACCACTCTCTGTAGGGACTTTCTATCTCAGGCACTGCTGCCACCAAACCAAACAGGGATGCAGTTTGTTAAAATGCTCTCAATCGTGCCTCTGTAAAAAGTGGCCAGAATAGAAGGCGAAAGATATGCTCTCCGCATCCGACATAGGAAATGCAGACACCAGTTTGCATGCTTCACTAAGGATGACGTGCGGAGAGACCAGTTCAGATTGTTAGTTATCTTCACTCCCAGATGCTAATGATAATACTGTCAAAGCTGCATCTTTGATACTGAGTAGGACTATGCCGTCTCTTTCTAAAATCTACAATGCCCTGTGCTCCTGCAGCCAGCACCCCAAAGTCAACCACCGAACCTCCAGGTAGACAAAGCCCTGTCTCCACTACCCTGTGTTTGTCTTGCTGCCCTTTTCTCCAGGTGCGAGACCAAATGCCGCAACGGGACGTACGGTGAGAACTGTGCCTTCGTCTGCAGCAGCTGTTTTAACGGGGAGTGCCACTTTGAGACCGGGAGGTGCCTCTGCCAGGCCGGGTTCCATGGGACGTTGTAAGTGACCATCACACGGGAAGACTCAGTCCCCCCACCCCCCCCCCCCCCCCCCCCCCCTCTCCGGGCAAGGCTGGGCTTAGCTAAGGAAGCTGCGGTCTTTCTTGCTGAAGCAAAGCAAAATGGAATGTACACTTTTCCTAAGACTGAAAAATGTATGTTTCTGACTTGTAGAAGGTTCTTCTTCTATTTACGACAAGGTGATTTGTGTTCTTTAAGCAAATCAACAATTTTAATTTTAATTTAATTTAATTTCCAATTTATATGCCGCCCTTCTCCCTGAGGACTCAGGGCGGTGTACAGCCAAGATAAAAAACATAGAATACAAATATTAAAAAACATTTAAAAATATATATAAATTTTGGCCCAAAAGTTAAGAAATCACAGACTGATTAAAAGAATTTAAAAATTTCTTCTTAAGCCAACCCGGCTTGCTGGAAAAGATGGGTTTTAAGGGAACAACGGAAGGCATTGAGGTCATGGATTCTCCTTATCTCTGGGGGCAACTGATTCCAGAGGGTGGGAGCCCCCACAGAGAAGGCCCTCCCCCTGGGGGTCACCAGCCTACATTGTTTGGCTGATGGCACCCTGAGGAGGCCCTCTCTGTGGGAGCGCACGGGTCGATGGGAGGTCGTCGGTAGCACTGGAGTGCCCTGTTTCCTGTTTGGTCCTCCTTGCTTATGGGACGCTTAGATCTGTGTTTACAGATTGAGTGTTTCTCAACCTCGGCTTGAAGCTTCAACTCCCAGAATTCCCCAGGCAGCCATGCTGGGAAATAAATCTAATACAGGTAGTCTGTGACTTACAACCACAATTGAGCCAGCGGTGAAATGTAAAATTTGTTACTACCGGTTCTGTGGGCGTGGCTTGGTGGGCGGGGGGGGGTAATGTGACTGGGTGGGCGTGGCCAATTTTTTTTTTTTTTTACTTTTAAAAGCCAAAGAGGTTGCAGAAAAAAATGCTTTTAAAAGCCTCTGACGATCCCAGCTGAGCCGCGCGATCATCAGAGGCTTTTTTTTTTTACTTTTAAAAGCATTTTTTCTACAATCTCTTCGGCCGAAAAAATGCTTTTAAAAGTAAAAAAAAAAAGCCTCTGATGATCGCGCGGTTCAGCTGGGCAGGGATTTTTGCTACCGGTTCTCCGAACCACTGCCCACTATCGTTACCGGATCGGGTGATCCGGTCCGAACCGGGAGCATTTCACCCCCGAATTGAGCCCAAAATTTATGTTGCTAAGTAAGATATATATATCCCATTTTATGACTTTTCTTGCCACATTTGTTACGTGAATCACTGCAGTTGTGAAATTCGTCACACGGTTGTTAAGCGAATCTGCCTTTCCCATGGAGTTTGCTTGTCCAAAAGTCACAAAAGGAGATCATGTGATCCTGGGACTCTACAACCGTCATAAATATGAATCAGTTGCCAAGCGTCCGAATTTTGATCACATGATCGTGGGGGATGCTGCAATGGTCACAAGTGTGAAAACTGGTCATAAGTCACTTTTTTTCAGTTCCGTTGTAACTTTGAATGGTCGCTAAGTGAACTGTTGTAAGTCGAGGACTACCTGTATAGAACCAGTGGAAGCAGGCTGACTGGGGGATTCTGGGAGTTGAAGTCCTCACATTTTTAAGACGTGGAGGTTGAGAAACACTGGTTGAGAGATTAGCCAGACCAGTTAAATAAGCTGGTCTCCGGCTTACTTAAAGCAGGAAAGGGTCACCAAGATACCATTTTACACACTTTATAAAAGTCTGAGATGAATACTCCTATATGATAATGTTGGAAGAAATATCGATCTGGTTCAGTTCCAAACCGGGAGAAAGGCACTGCAGAGAAAATGAAGGCTTGAAGCTGATTGGAAAGATGGTTTAATGATGAACAGAACCACCAAGCACATGGTTCTGGGCAGCTGACCAGATGGAGTTGAGAGTGGGTGGCTTTTATACCTTCTCTGGGATTCATATTTGATCTTCTTGTTCCTGTGCAAGAACATGTATTCTATTGGCTGTTGTCAGACTCCCATGGGGCCATGTAGGGGTCATGTTTGTCTGAGCTAAGTTTGGTTGAAGTTTGGAGGGTGATGCAATGTCCTTAGGAGATTGTGCAATGTAGTGAGCTCTGTGTCTTGGTGAGTTGAACCTATTATGTCCTGAAGGTCATAATATACCCTGGAGCTGAAGGTCTTTTGTTTTGTAGATAGGCTGGCCCAGTCTTTCTTAATGGGCACAAAATATATGCTGGGGGCAGGGAGCTGGGGCTCTGGGTTTCTGTCTCCCTTAAGATTTTTTATTCCGCTTTTAGGGGAAATATAATATTCTGCATTTTTAATATTTGCTAAAATATTTCATTCTTCTAGGAGGGGGATGGGTGCTAACTTTCTACAATAATAAGGCGTAATTTCTCAATCTCAGCAGCTTTTATTTCTGTGGATTTCTGCTCCCAGAATTCCCCAGCCAGCCTGCTTCCATGGGTTCTAGATTAATAGCTGCTTCTTTTAATTCAGAGTCAGCAATGGTCAGAACCCCTTTTTGACCTGTATCCTGCTTGGTTTTGGAAGTGATGAAATACTTTAAAGGAGCAAGATGTGTGTCCCAGCCCTGCAAAGAGTTAATGCAGCATTCTCACCTCTTAAAAAAAACTGATTTCTTCAGTTTCTTTCTAGTTAAGGACAAAGAATGGATAGGATCTTAAGTTTTTCCTCCTACCCACTTGTTGTGGTCCACCAGCAGCCTACAGAGCTGGCAGCGGAGTCGGACAGTGAGGAGGCTGGGGAGGAACATGGGCCAGTCCTGGAGTCTGGGGAAGGCTCAGACAAGGGCTCTGAATCAGAGGCAGAGATGGGGCCAGGGCCATCTGGGAGTTATGAGCGGACTCCGATGCCTCCAGAGTCGGACATCAGAGAGGCAGAGGAACAGGAGGAGCCTGTTCCTAGTGCGCCCATGTGCAGGGCTGCCAGAAGGCAAGAACAGTTAAAACAAAAGGGACGACTCGGGAGTAAGGCCTGGAGATGATTGGCCCCTCCCATAAGGCTTAAAAGAGGAGCAAAGACACGTGGGCCCTTTGCAGGAAAGCAATCTTGTTAATTCTGTTCCCAGTCGGCATCTCTGTTTGATTCTGGACTCTGTATGGCTTTGCCAAATAGGTCTTTGGCAAAGTGTCAAGGGAGATAAAGGTTGGTGATTCTCCCGAAGGACTTTTTGCAACTAATTGGGACTCAGCTGTGAATGAACGTAATTCACAGCTGTTGCAATAAAAGAGGTTTTTGGGACTACTCATGTGTTTTAATGACTCAGGAAGCCTAGGTCACACCACCACTCTCAAAGAAGAGTAGCCCCTCTGGCTGAACTAAGAAGCACAAGATCTTCGTTTCCTGCCTTCCACAGTTCTTTAGCTTTAGCAGAAAAAAGACATCCTGGCTGTGTTTAGTCATGGCATGCTTATTCAAGACAAAGCTTGTATTTATTGTCCTGTTTTTTCCCCCCAACAAATTCTTGCTGTGTTTTCGGCAAAGAAAGCTGATTTCTCCCTCCGAGTGAAGGGGGGGAATCTTTCTACCCACCATTTCTTTTCTATTATATATGTAAATCAGAATTCTTGCAAGTTTAGGATTCTCTTTGTGTTTTTTCCCAACATCTGCTTTCCCAACCTGGTGCACTCATCAGTGTGTTGGGATTAAAATTCACATCATTCCCAGATGGACTGCAGGATGCTAATCGGCTCCAGCCAATTTGTACTAACCTTCTCTAAAGCCTTGTTTCTCAACTTTGGCAACTTTAAGTTGGGTGGGCTTCAACTCCCAGAATTCCCCAGCCAGAATTGCTGGCTGGGCAATTCTGGGAGTTGAAGTCCACCCAACTTTAACAGATTTAACAGATTAACAGAGTTGAAAAGGACCTTGGAGGTCATTTAGTCCAACCCCCCCCCACACCCAAGGAGGAGACCCTACACCATTTCTGACAGATGGCAGTTCAGTCTCTTCTTGAAAGCCTCCAGTGATGAAGCTCCCACAACTTCTGAAGGCAACTTCTGTTCCATCGGTTGATTGTTCTCACTGTCAGGAAATTCCTCCTTATTTCCAGGTTGAATCTCTCCTTGATCAGTTTCCATCCATTATTCCTTGTCTGGCCTTCGGGTGCCTTGGAAAGTAGCTTGACCCCTTCCTCTCTGTGGCAGCCCCTCAAATACTGGACCACTGCTATCATGTCTCCCCTGGTCCTTCTCTTCACTAGACTAGCCAGGCCCAGTTCCTGCAACCTTAAATTGCCAAGTTTGAGAAACACAATTCTGAAGAAAAGTCATTGTGCAAGTATGAAGAACCACATCTGCACAATGAAATCACAATCTCAAGGGTTGTTAGTAAGGGGCCCCAGGATCTATGAAGAAGACAGAAGCAGCTTCTGAATTTAGTTTAGAGAGGGATCCCGGCATCCCCGAAACCTCTTTATGATTGTTGAAGCCATCGTGGGCCACAATAGCTGAAAATTGTCGGTTCCTTTGGTTACCAGAATGGTAGAATTGGTATCTCTGCTCCCTATAAAACTAACAACAAAACAGTCCTTGATATTGTTGCCAGATTGGAGGATATGAAAGTTATCCTTTCATTGGCCCTTGGACATCATTAATCATCTGTAACCAACCCCCCAAAACTGGAATATTTTCCAAATATGTCTCGTCCTTTCTCCCTCCCTCCCTCCCTCCTTCCTTCCTGCTTTTTCTTTCATCCCTTCTTCCTTTTTTTCAGTCTCCTTCCTTCCTCTTGCACAGCTTCTGCTGGGCTCCAGGCACATCCAGAGAGACATCTGGATTTTCTTCCTTGGGAACTCAGGTGTTGTGGCACATGTCCCCCCTACATTGCTCCGGTCAAACGATGAAAGGACTTTGACGCAGATGGAAGGGAAGCCCTGGGACACGCTAAAAATAGTTTTGTTGGGGAATTTCTCCGTTTGGCTTCTGGTGGACGAGTGTGCTCTTCCCAGTTGGGAGGGTTTGCCTGGATT